TTCTTTTGTTCCGGTTGAACCGCCATGCATGTTGGCTGCGAAAACTGAAGATCTTTCGAGCTAAATGCATGGTTTAGCGCAGGTTGGGTTCGACAGACTAGGGGGCCTTCAGTTTAGAGGGTACGGTTGTCAGAATTTCCCCGTCTTCCCTCCCCACTCCCCCCAACACAAAAGATGACTCCCCTAAACAAATCGACAGCTCTGCCTGCTCAATGCCTGAAGGCGGCGAGTCCTTTCTAAGTTTGGGCTCAGGCTTGTCGGTTCAGGCTTGAGGTTTGGTCACTATAGGTGGTTTGCACCGTCTTCTGTCGTAGGGCTTTGGGTTTAGGACTTGGGTCCTTTAGGAATCAAGGTTTTATTGTAGGGCTCTGTTCAAGCCTAAGCCCTAAACTTAATCCTGAGCCCTCAGCTTTGAACCCTGTTATAAGCCGGAAGTGGAAACTCTGGATCTGTGTGCTCGAAGTGTCGTTTTTTCTTGTCGTTTGGATTCCGGGTCAAGGGTTCTGTTCAGACTGTGTTCCTGACGCTGCGATTGCACTTCTACCAACTTGGTGAAGTTTAATGCCTCGAGGTAGCGCTCAGACCGGTTGCATGTGTTGGTGTGCCATGCTTGCTTTGTTGTTGGTCCCGGCGAAACTTGCTACGCGGGTGTTTCAGGAAAAAACGGCTGCTTTCGGACATTTCTGACGCCTTGCAGTCAAGTCTCTGCTGCCAAGTGCCAAGGACATGTATCCGAAAGACGGCTTGCTCCTGAATGGGATTGCCACCATCGCATGTGCGCGGGTGCCACGGCCATGGATAATGTGCTGAAGTCCCCACTTGCTGTGCTCGTTGCGGACTTAGTAAGCGATGAGTTCCGAACCTAAGTCTTGGTGTCGGTCTGAGAACACAGGGTGGCCGGCCTGGAATCAGAAAGCACAGGCTAAGCACGGCACGCGGCACCTTGGTGCCTTCGGCAGGTGGCTCTTCCTGGGCGGAGGCTCCCGAGGTCTGGCAGCATCCATGTGGTGGGCGAAGCGCCGAGGACCCGTGATCTGTCGCTTTCACACGAACCAGAGCTGCGAAGTCTCTTCTTTAATCTTGGGTGCTAGGAACCAGGAATCTAAGACTCTAAGAGCATTACATGGAGCACGATGGAGCACGTCCTTGAATGGAGCATGCTTGCACAGGGCCTACCTGGAAGACTGCGCGTTACTGCATGCTCATTTTGCAGGACTTGTGCAGGCTCTGTCCTTCAAGGTGTGGGTGGCACGGTGCCTGGCTCTAATTACGCCAGTTCCTCGATCGATTCCCTGTTGTTTACCGTTGCAGACTGACATAGACATGCACACTTCTGGGCAAGTTGGAGTGCAGTACGAGCAGGGAATCAGCTGCGACAGCAAAGCAGAACACGGTTTCTGGGTCACAACACACCCACAGCTGGATTGCGAAGGGACTCGAAGGGTTTTGTGACCGCTCAGCTGCTCAACCTGTAGGCACAAGTTCATCCAAGGCCGGCATGGCGGTGGACGGAAGCATGCCCGATATGTATATATCGCAGGTCCGGCCGCAAATGCTGTGGATAATTAATATCCATAAGTTTCGGATCCGGAGGTTGACTCCAGGCCGATGCATGTCAGGTGTTAAGGTTCAAACGCAGATCGCAGTATGGATTTATGCTTCATTCTGACCTGATGCTCTGAATGGCATGGCCCGCCCCGCTTGCCCAACCCGGAAAGGCATGGATGTGGGATCGAGCCTTGAACGATGACGAGCAACTTGGACTTGGAGTGCGACCGTTTCTGGGTTTTTGCCCTTGGCTCATTTGGCTGCTTCTGAGTCTTCTAAGGCTCATGGCGCTACACCTGGGCACCAGGCCCAGCAGAGCAGGTAAAGAGCCAATCCCTGTCTTTCCCACTGTGGCAAACTGGAGCCGCAAAGCGCCTTCGCATTAAGCTGTCTGTCTGCAAGCCGAGTGAAGACCAGTGAAGGACGCGCTATCATCGGGACTACCAGATCAACCTGCAGAATGTCCAGGTTGTCCGTCCCGGGGCAGAGATCAAAGCAAGTGGGTGCGCGTCTCAGCATTTGTGTCTTTCCATGGCCAGTCGGAACACCATAATTACCTTCAGCCTTATGACGAATCAATTGACGTATACTTCAAACGTTCTCGAGCTGGGAAGGCATTCCGGCATGTGATTCGACGTCTTGTGTCACCAATCATGGTAGTTTACGTATTTTCACATCGTTACAAGCCTTATCAAGTTCTCCCCGCATGGGAGCAGACTTTGTCAATCTTTGATCATGGATCTTCTACGCGACCATCCCTAGACTTCAGCTGCTGCATCGAGGATCATGCAGTGCAGCCAGCCCGGCTGTGAAGCTTCCGTGGAATTGTCGGGGCTCCCGACGAACGCGGATGCAAGGCAGGCCCCACCCCTTCCGCTATCTTCCGCTGTCCGCTGAAGCTGCGAAAGGCTCGAATGCCATGAGGTCCCAAGTTCTTTCGCAGTGTCTTGGAGAGCAGTTGCCTGTCCCATGCTCCGACAGGTGCTTCCTAACTTTCGGCGTGGCCATGACAGACTTCAGTGGCCCAGAAGAAGTCGTGGAGTACATCGCGCACTCTGTCCTGAAGCTTTGGGGTCTTTGATCAGGCTATCGCTTTGGTGCTCCAGAAGGAATACAGAAGCTCTGGGTACAGGATTCTCGCGAACTCCACAAAATGTCTGGCAGCAGTTGCAGGGTCAGGCCGAGCTGCCCCCTCGGATCCAAGGATTGATGACTACAACGTGGTGGAGCGTTGTTGGCCTCAAGTCGACGGAGATCCAAACAATATGTCTCTCGTCTAGACGGCAGGATCTACCTGATGCTTGCACGTCTTGGCATGTGATGAGGGCAATTTGGGTAGTGCACAGGTTCTTGCAGGGTGTATTCTCGTGGACGTCCACTTGTCCTGTACGTACGAAACCCTTCAAGCCCTGTGCCTGTGCTTGCGTCACAAAGGTATTACTGCGCTGACAAGCTGGATGTGTCTCAAGCCGCGCTTCGGGGATGCTTGACCAGCAGAAAGCGATTCCTGAATCATGAAGTGCCCGAAGCGCGCCAGTCCATCGTGCAGTCTGCAAATGCCAACCAGACATGCTGCATCGTTTCACCCGTCCCAGTTAGACTCCCTTCTCAGGCTCAAGTTTCAATTTAAGTTCGGCTCGTCGTCTTGAAACCCTGCTGTGGATGGACTTCAATTTTCCGAGGCTCTTTCCTCAAGGATGGCACGGCTCTTGTTACGGCGCAACTTGGCTGCATTTGGCTGCCCTCAGTGGAGGGAGGATTCCAAAGCGACAGGATCGTCCAAGCGTACTCGCAGCAGCTATTGACATCGCGTCCCGCTCCGAAGTACCGCGTGAATGCTGCTGCACTGTTGGAATTCCACTCTGGCCCGTGGTGAACCCACTCCGTGCGAGAGACACGCCCAGCGGACAGCTTCTTCGAGCTTTGTTGCGTTACTCCTTCGGTTTAGCAGAAGCATGAAGCTATGTGTCCCTTCGACTACCCTGCGCTCGGTTGCAATGTGGCTGCTGGCAGAGTATCATGAAAGAGGAGTTGCTCGCCGATGGCCAAACTGAACTGAAAGCTTCATCAACACCAAGCAACAACAGAAAAGTCCAGAGCATTCTTGGAGATTCGATGCTGAGATTTTTAAAATTCTTCCACACGTATCTGTTGTCGTTAGTACAAGGAGGTCATGCTGCCCCTGTCAGCACTTGCAGGAAGCTATCTTCGGAGGTTGACATCTTGGAGCTGCTCTGGCCAACACTACAGTAAGGGTATGCATTTCGAAGTTGCGTTTAAGCTCTTGCTTTTGCCAGACAGTTCGGGTTGAAGACTAGAGGGGGAGAGCCGCTGACCCACGCAATCTTTGTGGATCTCACAAGCATTTGAGGTTCCGCTTTCAGAACCGTTGGATGCTGTACGCAGAGGCAGCATGGCCACATGAAGAGATGCATGGATGTGCAGACTTGAGACAGCATGCATGCCTGCAGGTTTGCAAACCCATTTGTGCTTGGCATCTGGCACTTCATCCTTCCAAGGGCCTCCATCTTTGCACCCCTGGGCACATGCGTAGGTAGAGATTCTCTGCCTCGGCGGTGTGGTGAGCAACGACCCCTTGCCAGACATGGCTGTGAAGATCGAGCCAGAGGCTCTTGTTCGTTACGCGTTCAAGTACCTTGATGCTCTCAGTCGGGGTGGCGCAGGTCACTCACATCCTCGCTGCTGCTGCAAATGTGCAAGGCTGCGGGGTATGGGGACATAGTTGCGTATACAGTTCCTCCTCAGCTGGCAGGTGAGGGGGGCAAGGCACCTCTCCGCTTCTATGACAAGAGTAACGGCCACTATGCCTGCAGCAGGAAAGGGTTTTGGGAAGATCGGAGATCCTGAAATGCATGAGACAACGATGGTAGTGAAGTCTCAGAACGGCCTTGAGAACTCCCCTGCTGAGGCACGAAGGGGCAAGGGCGGTTCACAGAGAGAGGGGACCAACTGTCTGACGAAGACTGCCCAAGTCAAGGCTTCACTGTGCAACCGGTCATTGGTGATTCCAGCACCGCCGCTGTCCGGGTGGCACCCTGAGAGTGGCTGCAGTGCAGCTTCGTGTGTCACGGTGTCTTTCTCAGATTCATGAGGGCATCCACATTTTGCTGCAGCGAGGTGGATGCAGAAGCGATGTATCCCGAGGGACAATTCTGGGCTTTCGTGGTCAACAGATCCGTGGCTGCTGCTCTCACGAATCGTGGCAGCACAGTTTTCGTTTACCCAGTCGACTTAGAAGACTTTCGTAGAGGCGCACTACCTGCTTCACAGGATCGTTTGCTGCGGTTCATTCCTAGCCACAACGAAGGATCGAAGATATCCATGGGGGAGCGTGGTTCGGCTGCACCGCTAATTGCATGCTGCATGCATTTGCAACTATGATTGCCGAGTGCTGCGACAATTCTGCATGATGCAGGGCCTTTTTCGCTTCAAAAGCGGGGCCGCACGTCGGCGTGTGACGTGGCCTTGGACTTGTTGCCTTTCGAGGTACTCTGCAAACGTCATCTGCGAAAACCCACAGAGAGCTCAAGGCCGCAGCACCTTCGAGGCACGAAAGTCAAATGGGTAACTGCTTTGGATGGTATGGACGGACATCGCTAATCGTAAAGAAAGTGCAGGTCTCTTAAAAACCCCGTCTCGTGAGCGAACTTCAGATAATGTTTGCAGGACTTCCGTGTGGACCCATTCCTGGTGCAGTGCCCATTCGAGCCTGGCATTGACTACATGCTCCTCGACGAATCTAGAGCTTCAGAAAGTTGCAGCAGCGAATCGAAATCACCTAACTGTCAAACTCGTCAAGCAAGACGAAGAACAGGGAACACCAACTGCTCTGAGCTGATTCTTGATTTGGCTATCACGCCAATTGCGGCTCAAAGGTATGCATATATATATATACACACACACATACACATGTAGTTGTACACACCCTATTCTTGCATGTTGTGGACACTAGTTTTGTACCACACGCTCCTTTGTGCACTTGTGCCCGCTCTTTCTGGCAAGGCTAGTGCTCTACCTTGATGCGGCAGATCCACCCTACGGCGGAGGTCTGAGGGGCAGCAAGATATGCAAGATTGGGGCTTGCAGATTGTAATCTAACGTGCAAGGCAAAGCCTTTTTTGGCTTGTTCCGCTTTGTCTAGGCAATCCTGCAAAATAACCGAAGCAAGCAGAAAGCTGTTGAATGAAGAGCGTCACAGTCTTAATTGAGGTGTCTTTGGATTTGGTGGTGGGGTGGTAGGAGTCATCATTGTCATTGGAAGAAAAACAAGAAATTGAATAGGAGACACCCAACTTTCTACCAAAAAGAGCATGGTGGCCAAGGACTTTAGCCGGTGCACATTGATGGGAGCTGGGAACGGGGAGGGAAGAGCGGGTGCGGGCGAGAGGGGCCAGAATCTGAGGCTTTTATTGGTATACGTCCATGCACGTTCGACCAACCAAATACATCAACCTCATGAGGAAGGGTTCATCAAGCTATAGTTACCCATGATGCACTCAAAACAGACCCTCATTGCGGCTCCAGTGTGTTTGATGGCAGGCAGACGTGTAGTCATCAACGAAACTTCAGGACTTGAGACGCTGTGTTTCAGGTGTGCGAGTCAACCTTCCCTTCGTGGGCCGCTTTCCGGACGTCGTCTCGCAGGTTCTCAGCAAGTTTGCTTTCGAGGGTTTCATGGTTCCAAGTCGAAGGGTATGGCTGATCATGGGAATCACGGTGTATTCGCTTGTGTCAGGTGCACGCAGGGCTGGTGTGGTTTGCGATCAATCTCAGGTGCCGCTGCTACGTCCCAGAGCCCTGGAATTCGTAGACACGGAGAGCTTGGTGGGCCGGGTTTCTTGGAACGGCTAGGGTGGCATGTATGAAGAGAAAAAAGCATGACCGTGTCTTGAACGTGGTCAGTGGCCATGCAGGAGGCATGCCGTTGAGATAAGCACAGATAGTTGGACTTCTACTTTTTGTCAACTGGACCTGTCACGTGAAGGTTTTCGGCACGTTGACGATCACTTCTGCGGCATCCGAAGTGAACTTCACGCACTACCACGTGTACTACGGACCCGAGGGAAACAGTGTGACAGGGGCAGTGACGCAAATCGCGAAATTAATCTGAAAGACTCTAGCTCTAGCATGACCTCGGAGATAAAAACCTTTCGGTCGATCTTCGCTGAACTCACACACTGAAGAAGCGAGTGGTAATGACAGCGGTAGCCAGAATCTGACGTGTGCTGCGAAGCCATCTCTCAGGTCTCTGTAGCGCAATGTTTCGATGTCCTGCAGCTGGGACCAGGATTTTTCAGCCGCAGATGGCCCGAGGGGACGGAGCCATTCGCCATTATTCCAGCCTGGGCCTTGTGAGTGCAGCGAGTGCAACTCCTGGGACTTTTCTTCGCTGCTTTGAGACTTCGGTGTGCCAAGGTGACTGGTGCGTATCAGTATGCCGTTCAGGTGAACACGCAGCTTCTACCGGCGTCCCGACGGCACATCAGGGCTTTGAAGAATCAAGCGCTGTCCATCTTTCGACCTTCTCAGTGACCCACAGCTTGTGCTTGTGAAGCCGAGCGGCACAATTCTCGAAGACTGGCTTGCAGAAAGAAGGAAACAGCTGTGGGTGGTGGCGCCGTCTCCCTCCTCCCCCTTCGCTCGGTGTCTCTCTATGTGTAAATACCTACATCAATACAGGCCTGCATGCGCATTTTGCTTTTGTGTGTGAGTGTGTACGCGTCTATGTGCGTGAAGCTGGACGAAGTGGCTTCAGTCCACGGCATTATACAACCCGAGGATGTCAACACCTTCCTGGTCTTCTGCAAGAATGCCTACGGAGAAGAACCTCAACCGGAAGGGTTGAAAATGCATGACTGTGTCAAGCAGTCGTGTGGGATTTGTGCCCGGGGTGTGTCAATGAACAGCAGTGTGCTCTGCAAGTGGATGTGGATAGATGGTACTGTACCCGAATCTTGCCTCGAGGCTGAGCAGTCACGGCAAATCGGCATCTTGGACTCTTCCATGGTGTTGTTGGAGGAGCGCAGCTACCGTCACATGCTGCCAGTGAGCCGAGTAGTAATCCCCACATCCTGAGCCCGTTAAAGATCGCGAAGACACGACATGAGGGACTAGCCGGCCAGCCAGGAGCCGATTATATCGCCGACCTACCAGAACGGTATGCTATACCTCGACGTGATTTGGCGTTTCTGGGTGCAGTGTTGAGGCTCACTTGAAAGCTCTCATGCCGTCTGAGGTGAGTACACGGATTGCTGGCACTGGAGCTCGCGTAGACGTGGCTGTCGTTCCCAAAGGCCAGGTTCAGAGCACATCCTATTGCTTCAGAGTCATGTGCTCCTAATGCTGCGGAGGCATGGAATCGCAGGCCGAGAGCTCGTTCAACTACCGGCAGCTAAATTTCGGGCCTCTCACTGCCAGCAGCTTGATCTGGTCACAGCATTCAGCATAACTACGTTAAGAAGCCCAAGGCTTGAGGTCATGACTTCGACGCGGGCTTAAAAAGCTTTCATGGTGTTGCGCTATAGCCACAGGCAATCACAGGCAGTATTTCTTCGAGGTTGGAGCCAGGTGTCCCGTTGCAGCGAGGTGCCATGTGCCTGGAGCCGAACATCCAACAAGACGAGGCCGTTCAGTCCAAGGCACGCTTGCCAAGCTCCTTTTATTCGAACTCACGGCCGGGATTGCGACGGCTTTGGCTGTCCCGGTAGTTTGCAAGTTTACAACACCCTCTTTGAGCCGTTCTGGTGTCGGACAGGCCATTGGGCCCTGCGACCTCGTGCCAGCTGCGGAGCTGCGGGGTTCGCTTCACGAATTGTCTTGTACAGCGCTGTAGGACTGCCCTTCCATGTGAGACGCGGCAGACACACCCACTACACAGGAGTACACCGTCATCGTGCATGTGGCCATTCGTTTCGGCTGCCCCTGCGTGGACCCCTGCTTCTGCACGGGCGAGCTCAGCTTCCGGAGTCAGGCCGCACAGCACGGTGGGTTCATCTCCTTCTGCTGCCAACAGCAAACCCTCCAAGAGCCAGAGCGACGGCGGCATAAACACCTGGCCACAGAAGGGCTTGCAAGCAACAGGCACGAAAAAGATGTGGGAGTGCTCGCGCGCGGAAAACCTCGGAAACGCATCTTAGAGTCTTAGCTCCTCCAACACTTATAGCGTCGCAGTTGAAGGTTCCCTTCTTGACAGTCTTTCAGCAAATTGCCGTGCCAACTGGGACCCGTTTTCACATTGGCATATTATATTATATATACTATTATATTATATATACTACCATATTATATGACCCTGCAGAGGCCGCTTCAGGAGGGGGTTTGGAGGCGTCCCCAACGGGTCACATCATCCTGCCGGATCGGGTCCCTCCAACGCTGACGTTTCTGGGCACAGAAAATCCGGAGAGAATAAGAACAGCGATAATGAGACCGCTAACTTGCCACAAGTAGTACCAATGATGATGACAATTATGATCTTGATACTATTCAGAACAACAGTAATATCAATTACAATTACAATTGTGGCAACACTACTAAGTGTACTAAGGATCACAGTAATAAACGCAGACCGCAACAATAACAGCAATAACAATAAAATTACGCATAGTAGTAACACTAATCGCGATAGAAACATTGGTAATAGTGATGGCAGTGACAAGAATCAATAACAACATGGTCATGATAGTGGTGGTAATAATCATAAGAATTATTCAATAACAACAATTTCAGTACGACTAATAGCCACTACAATCATGATAGTGCTGATAAGGATGATACTCAAGACAGTAGTGAGTAATACTCATAATCAGAATGACAAGCAAGATTAACGACAAATAAACAAACAAGCAACGACAACACCAACAGCAGCAACACTGAACACCAGCTATACCAATTCTAACAGTAAGAATAGGCATAGTTTTACGACCTATAACCATAACAATAAAAACAACCATCATACAAAGCCAATCAACACAATAACTTAGTAGTACTATGGCAATGACGACAATAATGGCATAGTTACAATAGCACCCGTGCTGCTGCTG